TGGGTGGTGCTTTAAGAGTTAAGGAGCTGTGCAAAGAGGCACAGATTCTGGAATGCATCATATCTGATGTACTCTTCCTTTATGTCTGGGGTGGCGAACTTTTTTTCTGGGAGCCATATGCTTGTGATGCGTGAAGCCATAACACAAGTGGGTGGAGCCAGTGGTGCCACTCTTACCTTTGGACAGTAGGTTATATTTCAGTCAGAGGTTTTTACATGGATTCGCACACATCTCCCCATCCTTCTTCAGGCGAGTAGGAGACATTATCACAATTCAGTGAGGCAGAAGCACTTAAAGAGAGTTCAAAGCAGGGCTGCTGGGGGCGGGGCCTAGGGAGTTGTGGGTGTGGCCTGGGATAAGCCTCAGGGGCCAGCTTGAGAGGCCTGGAGGCCGAATCCAGTCCTCGGGACTGAGGTTCCTCACCACTGTCCTATGTGATTAGACCACTTCCTTGCGGGAAGGAAGGAGCCAAAATTAAGTGATAATCTGAACATTTGGGTTCGGTGTGTCTTAAGAATGACAGAGTCAGTATGTGCAAGGTCTGTTGGATCTGGCCACACACGCGTAAAGGCCAGTGTCGCCTCTTCCAGAACAGTCAGCTTTCTCAGGCTGGCTACACAATGCAATGCATCCATCCTCCTTCCTAAAAGCTACTTTACCAATATATTTTCATTATGCAAGCACCATGCATAAGCGAACAGACATAATAAGAACTGCTGGATCAGGCCAATGGCCCATCTAGACCAGCATCCTGTTCTCACAGTGACCAAGCAGATGCCTGTGGGAAACGCACAAGCAGGACCTGATTACAAGAATACTCTCCCTTCCTGTGGTTTCCAGCAACTGGTATTCAGACGCATTACTAATTCCAACCATGGGGGCAGAACGTAGCCATTGTGGCTAGTATCCTCTTTAAAAGCTATCCAAGTTGGTGGCCATCACTGCCTCCTGTGGGAGGGAGTTCCATAGTTCCATATTGCTGTGTAAAGAAGGGCTTTCTTTAGTCTTGTCTTGAATTGTCCAACGTTGAGCTTTGTTGGGTGTCCCTGAGTTCTACTATTATGAGAGAGGGAGAAATCGTATCTCTGTCCACAGAGATGCATTTAACATCAGGGAAAAGAGCAGACACACAAGAAAAAATGTCTTTTTTTACTTTACTTTTTTTTTTAAAAAAAGCAAGCTTAATGTACCTTTTTTTTGTTTTTTACTTCAAATAATGGTGTTCATCCACAAAGCAAGACTGTATGCCTGGTTTGGACCCACAGATGCTAGGAAAAGTGATTTTAAGTGTGTGTGAAGAAACAAACACCACACTTCAGATTTTTTATGAGCTGTTGCCGATATTGGGCTCCTACATGATGGCTTCGTCTCATAAATGCTTCATCAAGGAAATAGAAATGGTTGGCTTCCTTGAAATTTACCACGGCTTTTGGGATTCCTACAGATGTGCTCTGTTTATCTAACTTTCCTGTGAAGCATCTCTTTGGCAGCCCAAAGAGAAAACCTCTCTTCCGTCGCGCAAATCTGGGAAACTTTGCAAAGCTTTACCACCTTTGGCTTGAGTGTCCGTTTGACATAAAGAAAACAAAACCAAACACTGTAAGCGTGTAATAAAAGAAAATTCAGGGAAAGAGAGGAGATGACAACTTTATTTTCAAAAGGCACCAGGGTGTCAGTCGAGCTGGTGGTCTGGTTCTTTCAAAAACGCTGACCTTGTGCTCCTTCTTTCCTTAGGGATGGTGATTGTCTCTTCGTATCTTGATGCCTCTTGACTCTTAAAATTGCAGATTATTTCCCCTCTTTTTTTGAAAAGCATTTAACCTTTTGTCATAATTACTCAAACCACTTTTCCTGAAATTAAGTAACTGGCAATTTCTGTGCTTTGTTTCTGAACTCTCATGCAGACTCTGATTCAGAGATGACAAATTGAGAGCAATTTCCAGGGGCTTGAGTTTTGCTGCTTAGGAAAACATACGGAGAGACTTGGGAATCTGAACTGAGCCTTAGTTCTGCCCTTTGCCTTTGCAGGGTGGTGATTGTGGAATTGCACAGCCACCTTTAAAGAGATATTACCTGCCGCTTGTACCATTGTTTGGAAAAGCGTAGCAAGATGGCAGCCACTTAGTACCTTTCCCTCGAGTGCTACGCATGCATTGAATGGCAAAAAAAATTGGCATTGAACTGACATTAATGAATCCTGTGTGATCTAGCAAGCAGACACATATTCATTTTTAAACAGATATAGTAATGAATGTTTTGGTGGCAGTGTGCGTGCGTATGCGATCGCACTGCTTGTAAACAATTCTTTTTGCTTTGAGTGCTCCAATCTCTGTTCATAGATGTCTGTTGCCCCTTATTCTGTTTTTGCTTCTTTAAATGTGGGTAGGTGTCGTGCCCTAGTTAGTGTTCCTTGCTTGGGTTATATCACAGAATGAGCAACGTGTGTGTGTGTGAACAATTTCAGTACATGCATAAAATCGGCTTTGGGGTTATTCTCCTTTGGCCTACACATCTGCAGTTTTGCAGGGTAGGTGAGACTTATTAAATAGGAAGAACCCCAGTGTAGTGGCTAAAATGACTTCTCGAGGGAAATGCCTGACATGCCAGCATACATACCTTTGTGGTGATATCTTCCTTGGCAGTGGGGAGGAGGAGGCTGTGAGGGCTGAGAGTAGCCTTTCGGAAAAACCTTAAGCTCAAGTCCTCCCAGAGGAAGCTCAGACTCTATGGTTGGTGGAGGGAGGGGGAAACTTAAGTGAAAGCATTTTGTTTCCGCTTGAAATGCAAGAAATAGGGGTTGGGGGGGCACTTTTACTGTTTTTAATTTTGCTTTGGGTGGAAGGAAGGGAAACAGAAGATCATTGTTTTCATGGTTGCCAAGCCCTTAGACAACAATTGAGCCTATTGTTGTTGGTCTGCGATTCCAATTGCTAGAAAGTAACTCGATAGTGAAATATGCACACCAGATTTCAACAAAAACAGTCTTTCTTTACCTGCAAAGTGATCTGTATTAGCAAGAGAAGAGTGGTCGCTTGGAGGGGAGTGGGCAGATGAGCCATAACCCCTAGATTGCTAGCTTTCATTTTAAAAAGAATTTGTAGAACTTGAGGATCAAGCTGCACTGTGAATTTAAATCAACACCATACCACTTATGCAACTACACTTTACCGAGTGGTTTAACAATCTGTCTTCCCAGGGAATTGTAGTTCTGTGAGGGGAATAAGGGTCTCCCAACAATTCTCTGCATCCTTAGCTAACTACAGTTCCTAGGATTTGATTTTTGGGGGGTGGGGGGAGTCATGACTGTTTAAAGTGGTGTGACACTGCTTTTAACAGTACAGTACAGTGGTACCTCAGGTTACATATGCTTCAGGTTACAGACTCCGCTAACCCAGAAATATTACCTCGGGTTAAGAACTGCTTGCTTCAGGATGAGAACAGAAATCATGCTCCAGCAGCGCGGCAGCAGCAGGAGGCCCCATTAGCTAAAGTGGTGCTTCAGGTTAAGAACAGTTTCAGGTTAAGAACAGACCTCCAGAACGAATTAAGTTCTTAACCTGAGGTACCACTATATAGTAGAGATGGGGCCTAAGATAGGAAGCAAAATGTACATGCTATATTCTTGACATTCTCTCTCTCTCTCTCTCTCTCTCTGTGTGTGTGTGTGTGAGAGAGAGAGAGAGAGAGAAGCCTGATCTTCCCTTTCAGTGTTTTACTTTTTCTCTCTTCCCACTGCCCCCCCCTACAAAAAATAAATAAATCCTGTGGTTGCCCATGAGTGTGGCATGTAATCGCATAAATGGAAAGGTCAATCCTTGCACACATTTTTGAACAGCATGAACTTCTCGGAAGAAAGGTAAGGTAGAAGTACAGGTGAAAAATCAAGTACGGTACTCAAAGCTCTTAGTAGACATTGTTTCAGCCCTATAATTGAGGCAAGTGTTGATCTCATATGACAGGTTCAGGGCCTGAGACAGAGAGGGTAGTACCACTGCTGGTTCTAAGAGTAGACCCACTGGATTTAATGGGTGCAACTGGATAAAGCCTAAGGGCCACCATTTGAACTGGAAACATCATGGCTCTCACTTGTAGCCACTACATTGCACTGGCCCTCTGTGCATGCTCCACTAACTGGTACCTAGAATGGTGCCTTTCTCAAGATGTGTGCATGGGATAGATAGAACTACTGCAAATAATTCCACAAAAGTTGCATGCCCAGATTTTTATTTTATTTTACCAGTACTGTGTGAATTTGCCTACCTGGGCAAACAAACCTTTTTTTTTGTGGTGGGGGTCATAATCCATACTTGGCTTCCTGGATTTGATGATTGCTTATAACAGGTGAGCAGGTGAGTGGCTGTTTATAAGCTTGAGAGAGAAGCTTGCAGTTTCCCAAGGAACTGTTTGTCCTCCCACGCTGCCAAGATGTTTCCAGGTGCTGCTGTAGAGACCATTCAGGCTTAAAGCAGAAAAGTTGGCCTGTCTTTTTATGGAGGGGGCATATGGTTAAGCCTTCAAAAGTTTGCTCATCCGTAAATTGGTATCCATATGATTTAAAAGCAAATAAACTCATGTTCAATTAGTGGTTCGCCTAGAAAAAATACAATTCTGTTAAGTGCTGCACTGTCAGCAGCATTGTGTCTTCATTGGGGTGGGGCAGAAGAGGTCTATTGCTTATAACGCCAGCATCACTTTAGAAATTCCCATGAACTTTATGCCAAGTGGCCCAATTTTCTTTGCCACAGATGGCTCTGTTTGTTTTCTGGTTAAACATTAATTTAACAAAATCAATTTAGAACTCTGCGTTAAGTGGAGATCAGGTAATTCTCCCTTTTATCTGCTGTAAATAAGAAAACATTTCTCAAGTGTGAACAAGCAAGCAATCCCTGGCAGAGGATTTCATTCGCAAACAAATGTCTCCTGGTTGATCGACCTTTTGCCTGTTATGATATCGTCTCTGTTAATCATTCATCTATAGTAATGTATGAGGACAGACAACTGTGTTTGCTGCCATTGCTGATTTTTAACATGAAGAGCCGGGATGGTGGGGTGGTGTATTGGTTAGAGCATTGGACTAGGACTTGGGATCCCAAGGTTCAAATCCCTGCTCAGCCATGAAGCATCCTGGGTGACCTTCGGCCAGCCATTCTCCCTCCCAGCCTAATTTACCTCACAAGGTTGTTGTGAAGATTAAATGAGGTGGAAGAGAACCATGTACATCATCTTGAACTCTTTGGAGAAAAAAACGATACATAAATGCAGTGAGTTAACATAAAATAGCCACAATGGTTGCCAGTTCATTTCCGAGCTGAATTCAAGGTGCTCATGTTTATGTTTAAAGCCCTAGACCACTTAGGCCCAAAATATCTGAAAGACCATCTCCTTCCCTACAGACGGGCTTAGGTTTTAAGATTAACAGAGGGGGCCCTATTTGTAGTTCTGCTTCCCTCAGAAACTCCGAGGGTTGGCCAAGGAGGGCATTCTCTGTGGCAGCCTCTAAGTTGTGGAGCTTCTTCCTCACAGAGGTATATCTGTTACCCTCACTTTGCAGTTTTATGTGTCTGCTGAAAACGCACCTCTTGTAACTTTTTAAAACAGCTTTTCATGTATTTTATATTGTTGTGACCTTAGGATGAAGGGCTGATAATAGATGAAATTAGATGATGATGATAATCCTTATACCGCTGAAAACCTCATTACCAAACCAAATACCTCTCCTAACATGAATGTACCCAGACCATACAAGTGTCATTTGGGGCCCTTCGTGGTTTACCCCTCCTTTTCCAGAGCCCCCCTCCCAAGCTAACATATACAAAATGCAATATCCAAAACATTGCAATTTAAAGATTTAATAAAATCAATTGAAGCACAGTAAATCATCTGATGCCCTTATTTGTGTGCCCCGCCCTCCAAGAGGCAGTCAGAGGATGGGAACAAGGGGAAAAGCCTTCTTTAGATTGGAAGTGGAATGCTCTCCATTGAAGTCCGCCTTAGGCCAAAACTGATTTCTTTCCAGCACCAGGTTAAAGGCTCATCACCCAGGCATTAGATTGGATTTGAAAAGTTTTTGTTAAAGCTGTCTAAAGCATGGACTCCCATGCGTTAGGCAACCCACTAATTAATTAATTGAATAAATAATAAATTGTCTATTGCACTTCTGTCATGATCTGTGGCCAATACAAAAATAAAACTGAAAATGTATGTTGGCAGCAGGGGAATGGGGTGTAATGCTGTCTTAATGCAAGGTGGAAGGGTGTAAAGGAAATGGCTTAATTGCGTGACTTTTTGCGTATGAAGGAAGAAATTAAGAATTCACCAGAAGTGAATGTGTTGGGTCAATGAGATTCATTGGAAATTTTTTTTTGTTAAGACCTTAAAAAGGAACACGAGTAGGCTGTTGGCTTTTCAGTAGTTATTTTTATAACCCCATGAAGGGGATTGTGAAATTCACATGGCCAGCAGAATTTAAGGCAGTGTTTTTCAAACTGTTCTGGGGAAATTGGAAGTTCCTTAGAAGCTCATCTGGGAATCCTCAGTGAGAAGGTCAGTCTGGTGAGCGAGTTTCCTTGACAGATGGTTTGCCCTGTGTTACCAACAACACACAGCTGTGAGGAAGTGTTTGTCTGCAGTGTGTGGAAGAGGCCCAGCAGGCCAGTGCGAGCTGCAGGCCTCCTAAGACACTCTCCAGAAACCTTTGCATCATTACAGGAAGGCATTCACATGTGCATGAATGCATGAGGAGGGAGTAGGAGCTTCCCCCCTGCACACTGATGCACTTGCTGGCTGTGTGTTAGTGCACCTGCTTTGGGTGCAGAGGGTTCCAGGTTCAATTCCCGGCATCACCAAGTAGGACCGGGGAATTGAATTTTTGTGTAATGGGACTGTGGGAGCTCAGTTCTGGTACTGAAATCCAGTTCCTGGGCTAAGAGCATGTACTCAGAAGTATCTTGCCTCTTAACTCTTAAAGAGTATATTTGCACCTGACTCCCGTGTGTGGATCTGGGGTTTGGGGGTGTTGAGTGAACATTAAACAGAGCCTGGAAACCTGAGGTATGCCCACACTTGCCTAACATGGCAGAAATAGGAGCATCAAACTGGTAAAGCATCTAGAAACCAGGTTTTGCCCATGTGTTTTCAACCACTGTGCTGTGGCACCCTGGGGTGCCTTGAATGATGGTCAGGGGTGCTGCGGGCAACACTGGCCACTGTCCCTCTTTCTTTCTTTCTTTCCCTCCCTCCTCTGATGCCCTCTTGCATCTCTGCCTCCCAAAGGCTTGCACAGATGTTTGTTGCAGCAGCCCTAGCTACAAGCTCCCCAGGTGAATGCTGCCTCTGGGGCTGGTCAGGGGGTGCTTCTCAGGAGAGCCAGTGTGGTGTAGTGGTTAAGAGCAGTGGACTCATAATCTGGTGACCAGGAATGGCAGCTATGGCTAGCCCATCATCACCTGCTTTGCATATAGAGGACCCCTGGTTCAGTCCAGGTAGGGCTGGACGAAACCTCTCTCTGAATTCCTGGAGACCCACTGCCAGTGTAGGCTGACTCTGTTCAAGGCAGCAAATGAATCTTTCATTCAGAATCATCAAGTTCAGCGACAGCAGTGAACTCGAGGAGGTGTTTACATCTTGCTTGGTTTTTACTTGCTTGGGACAGAGTTTACCAACCGCTCCGGGTTGTCGTAGATTCCTATTTTGGATGTATAACGACAGTGAAAAGGCTCTCAAGTGGATTGTGGTTCCTTGCTCAGAGCAGTATGATAAAGGCATGTGGCCATTGTGCAGCAGCCAGGCAATTCCCTTTCCAAGATTAGTAAGTGGGGAGTGTCAAGTGTGATTTCATAAGCATTTCCAGATAATGGTGGCAGGAGCATGCTTGGTTTACATGCATTTCCATTGAATTTGCGTAGTTAACCCTACTTCACAAGAAAGCGAAATGTCTTTTTTTAAAAAGTGATTTATATAATAATTTTCCTTTGCCTGATGTTTTGCACAAGTACATTTCCGGTGTGAGCAGAGATTTCTTTAACCCCCTTGTCCAGGGTAAAATGTTTGATGAACTTACAATTTGTCTTTCCTGTTGCTTGGAGACGCTTGAGAACTGTAGAACAGGGGGACTTCCGGGGGGCGGCGCGAACGGTAATGGCGGTCTTCTCCCGACCGGAGAAGAAGCTCCGCTGAAACCGGGTCGTCCGCTACGGCGAAGCGGAGACCCAACGAGAAAACCCCCAGGCAGCAAGAGCCTGGGGTCCTGAGGCTCGGCGGGCGCCAAGAGCAGCCCTCCAACTGCAGAAGGAGCCTCGTAAGAGGCTCCGGAGCGTGGAGGGGGGCTGCGGCGCTGTGAGCCGTTTCACAGTCAGCGGAGTGAAGCCGCGCTGCTGCTGCCGGTGAGCGCTGATCCCTTTTCCTGTTAAAATTCGGATCTGGAAGAAAACAACTTACTCGTGAGTAAAGACTGAATCACTTGGAATTACAAATTTTAAATGAGAAGGTTTAAATTGACTTGAATTTGGCTGAAAGCGGAGAGACGTGGAAACAGGAAGTCCGTCTTCCGCTGCCATTGAACTTGGAAAAAAAAGCAACTAAAGTGGAGGAGTGGAGGCTGAAAGAAAGAGATTTTAAACTCTACACAGCCAAGCATCTATGGAACTTACAATTTAAAGTAAAATTAGCAAGTTAAAGATTTGGACCTTTTATTTGCACTTGACTTTCCCCTTTTATTGGATTACAAATTGGAAGGTGTAACCCAGAGTCAGGATTGCTTGAGCACTGTAACAGTGGGCTGTCAGTGTTTGACTTGGATACTGTATATCAGAAGTTGCAACAATCTGAGGGTATTGAGACCTTTTAAATTTGAAACATTCTTTTGGGAGACAAATAAGCACTGTCTGCAACAAAGTGATTACTTTTAAACTCTGCTTAATACTTATATTGGAAGGTTCTGGGACATTAAATCAGACTCTGAAAAGACACTTTAAGCTCCCTCTAGAGGATTGGATTAAAACAGTGACTTTATAAAAACATTTACTTTCGATTCTCTTGTTGTCTGCATGCTCTGGGCCTCTCTATTCCTGTGGGAAAAACTCAGTGTGACCTTGACTGATAGATAACATTGGAATGAGTGGTACAAGAAGAAGAGGAAGAGTTAGACAAACAACTCTAACAAATCTAACCTCAGCCTCGCAGACACGTAGATCATCTGTGCCTACTTTGCCCTCAGAAGTACAACTTGAAGAAGCTGCCTTGCTACAGGCAAAAGAGGGAGAGGGTGAAGTAGAGCAGTTACAATTGGAAGATATGGCCTCAGGAGCATCTGTTTCTGTGCTAGAAAAAATCTTTGAAAAATTGGAAGCTTTGGACAAGAAAGTAGATGCGCAATCAGCAAAGATTGATAAAAATACAGATTGTCTAAACAAATTAACTACACAGGTGGGACAGAATACACAAGCAATTGGACAGTTGACGGAGGCCTCAGTAGAAAACCGAAAATTGGCTGAGGATACCAGACAAAAATTGGAAAATTTAGAGCAAGAGGTAAGACCACTCACTAAACAAGTTGGGGAACATCAGACTTATCTTTCTATGATAGAACTGCGAAATCGTGAGAATAATTTGAGGATTAGATCATTACAAGAGGCAGAAGAAGGAAATCTAACTGAGTTTTTGACCAAAGAACTTTCCAAGTTCTGGAATTTGGAAGAAAAGGACTTTAAAATTGTGTCAGCTTTCAGACTTGGAAGATTTATAAAGAAGGAGAGGCCCAGGGATTGTTTGATTACATTGAGATCGAAGGAGGAAAGGGATAAGATTTTGGGCCTACATTACGAAAAGTCACTGGAAGTTTTGGATAGAAGAATTGAGATATATAAAGATATCCCAAGACAACTGTTGGACCTTAGAGCCGCCTATTCTGAACTTGCTAAACTATTAAGGAGCAACGCAATTCCATTCAGGTGGGATTTTCCCCAAGGATTATCTTTTACCTTTAGAGCGAGAAAGGTTAAAATTAGAACATTGGAAGAGAGAGATAAATTTTTGGCTACACACGGAGAGGACCTACATAAAGGAATTGAACTACCTTCCGGGCCTGAGGCAAAGCCAGCATCAATACCTCCACCTCGGGAACTTGAAGATCAAGAGAAGACACCACCCCAGGAGAAATAACCAGATAGATCCAGGATGTCTCTGCAACTGTTGAGCTGGAATATTAATGGTTGCAATATTCCGGAGAAAAGGAAGAAAATATTTCATATATTAAAAAAGAACAATTGGACATTATTTGCTTACAAGAAACACATGTGACGAGGCTCCACAGAAAAGTGTTAATAAATAAAAGATTGGGCCAGGAATTTATTTCGTCGGATAAAGTGAAGAAGAGAGGAGTGGTGATATATGCAAAAGAGAGCCTGTCACCTAAATTTCTATTTAAAGATGAGCATGGAAGGATTTTGGCTATTGAGATACAATATCAAGGAGAGAAACTGCTGATATTAGGAATCTATGCGCCTAATGAAGGGAAATCGGAATTTTACAAGAAGTTGCAGGGGACAATGCTGGATCATCTGGATTACAACAACATCATAATGATGGGAGACATGAACGGGGTCGTGTCAACTAACATGGACAAGTCGCAAAGTCAAAACATCACAAAAGATGGCAGACTACCTAAAACCTTTTTGAAATGACTGACAATATGGACTTGATCGACATTTGGAGAACAAAGAACCCACTAGGTAGAGAAGGAACATTCTTTTCTGAAGCCCAACTGACCTGGACAAGAATCGACCAAATATGGATCTCTAGAGGCCTGGCACCTAGGGTTAGAAAAGTGGAAATCTGCCCAAAGACCTGTTCTGACCACAACGCAGTAAAGATGGACATGACACTACTACCAACTGGATCCTTTAGATGGAAGATGAATGACAATTTGTTTAGAGATCAGGAAATTACCAAGAAGGCCCAAAAAGTTTTGAAAGATTATTTTGAGATAAATATGAACAATTCGGTGGAAAAAGAATCGTCTGGGACGCAAGCAAAGCTGTTATGAGGGGATTCCTGATACAACAGAATGTAGTAAAGAAAAAAACACAAAATGAGAAAAAGACAAGATTTTGGATAAAATAAAAGAATTAGAGAAGAAATTAAGAGTGAATCCAAAGTCACAGCCAACTCTGAGAGAAATTAAACTGTACCAAACACAGTATTCTAAATTGATAAATCAGGAAATTGAATGGAAGATCAAATTAATGAAACAAAAACGTTTGAGTCGGCGAATAAATGTGGAAAACTGCTATCCTGGCAGTTGAAGAGAAGACAAAGATTAAACACGGTTACAAATTTAGAGGTTGATGGAAGAAACATTCAGAATCCAGTGGACATTAGAAAGTGTTTCCAGAGATATTTTAAAAATTATATACCCAAGGGCCGCAAGACGAAGTTGAGATTAAACAATTTTTGCCAAAAATGGATTATCTAAACTGTCACAAGAAAATAGGACAATCCTGAACTCTAAAATAACACGACAGGAGATTGAACAAGCTATTCAGAACATGCAACTTGGCAAATCTCCAGGGCCAGACGGGCTGACCTCCAAGTATTACAAGATACTAAAAGACTATTTGATACAACCTTTGATGGAGGTTAGCAATGAAATTATGGAGGGGAAGAGGGCACCGGATTCGTGGAAGGAAGCGTTTATCACATTGATACCAAAGTCAGAAACTGAAAAGACACAACTGAAGAACTACCGTCCCATCTCCCTTTTAAATGTGGATTACAAAATATTTGCAGATATTTTGGCAAGTAGATTTAAAAAGTTTTAAATGAAGTAATTCATAAGGACCAGGCCGGTTTTCTCCCAGGTAGACATTTGTTTGCTAACACAAGGAACATTATTGATATTTTGGAACTTCTCCAAACTGACATAAATACAAAAGCTGTTTTAATTTTTATAGATGCGGAGAAGGCCTTTGATAACATTTCTTGGAAATTTATGATGGGAAACTTAAAAGAGATGGGAGTGGGACGGGGTTTTGAGAATGGGATCGAGGCGATATATTCAGAACAGAAAGCAAAACTGATAGTTAATAATGTGGTTACAGAAGAGTTCAAAATTGAAAAAGGGACACGACAAGGTTGCCCTATTTCCCTTTGTTATTTATTTCGGTCCTGGAAGTGCTATTGAACATGATTAGAGGGGACCAGCTGGTGGAAGGAATTCAGGTTGGTCAGAAACAATATAAATTAAAAGCTTTTGCAGATGACCTGGTTTTGACCTTGCAGAAGCCAGAGCCTAGTACGAAAAGAGTATTACAATTGATTAATGATTTTGGTCGGGTGGCGGGATTTAAATTAAACAAACAGAAAACTAAGGTTTTGGGGAAAAATCTGACTGAGACAGAGTCAGAACGGTTTCAGAATGAGACGGAACTTAATGTGGTTAAAAAGTAAAATACCTAGGGGTAAACATAACAGCAAAAATCTAAGTCTATTTAAGGATAATTATGAAAAATGTTGGACAGAAATTAAGAGAGACTTAGACAGTTGGTCAAAATTGAAACTTTCTTTGTTAGGCCGAATTGCTGCGATTAAGATGAATGTATTGCCAAGAATGTTGTTTTTATTTCAAACACTGCAGGTATTGGACAAAATGGAGTGCTTTCAGAAGTGGCAGAGAGACATTTCGAAGTTTGTCTGGCAGGGCAAAAAGCCCAGAATTAAGTTTAAGATACTAACCGATGCTAAACAAAGAGGGGGCTTTGCCCTGCCGGACTTAAAGTTGTACTATGAAGCCGCAGCGTTCTGCTGGCTAAAAGACTGGCTACTTCTTGAAGACACTGATGTGTTAGATTTGGAGGGGTTTAACAATGTTTTTGGATGGCATGCATATTTATGGTATGACAAAGTTAAAGCAAATAAGGCCTTTAAGAACCATATTGTTAGAAAATCACTGTTTAATGTCTGGACAAAATATAAAGACTTGCTGGAAAATAAAACACCAAGGTGGCTTTCACCTTTGGAAGCTAAGGCTCGAAAAAGACCCAATATGGAGGCCAAATGGCCAAAATATTGGGAAATACTAGAAAAGATGGAGACAATTGGAAATTGCAGAGCTTGGAGAAAATGAAAGACAAAGTGCGAGATTGGTTACACTATGCTCAGATTAAAGAAGTTTTTAAAAGTGATAAGAAACTAGGGTTCCAGGTGGAGAAATCGAAATTAGAAACAGAATTGTTAGAACCAAAGACTAAGATACTTTCAAGGATGTATAACTTGCTGTTGGAATGGAACACACAGGATGAAATGGTTAAATCGGCTATGATAAGGTGGGCACAGGATATCGGGTATAATATTATGTTTGAGGACTGGGAAAGGCTGTGGAGTAATGGATTGAAATTTACTGCATGTAATGCTTTGAAAGAAAATGTAATGAAAATGATTTATAGATGGTATATGACCCCAGTCAAACTTGCAAAAATTTACCACCTGTCTGACAATAAGTGCTGGAAATGCAAAGAGTGTGAAGGAACGTTCTTTCACCTCTGGTGGACATGCCCTAAAGTGAAGGCGTTCTGGGAAATGATTTATAATGAATTGAAAAAGGTATTTAAATATACTTTCACTAAGAAACCAGAGGCTTTCCTTTTGGGTATTGTCAGCCAAGGGGTGGCAAAGAAGGACCAGACATTTTTTATGTATGCAACAACAGCAGCAAGGATACTACTCGCAAAACATTGGAAAACCCAAGATCTACCCACACTGGAAGAATGGCAGATGCAACTGATAGACTATATGCAACTGGCTGAAATGACTGGCAGAATCCGTGACCTGGGAGAAGAGAGAATCGAGGAGGATTGGAAGAAATTTAAGAACTACCTACAAAAACATTGTGATTTGATTGAATGCTGAATAAGATGCTGGACTAAATAACTGAGCACCACTTAACTTAGAAATTTTTAAGGAAACAAGAAAAATTGTGAAAGTTTAACTCTTTATGAGAACTTTAAGATTATGAAATATCGAAGAGATATAAGAATTTAAATAAGATGATAAATTGCTGACAAAATGTTATAATGATGAAGGTGGGAGTGGGAGATGTGAGGAAGTCCAAAGAAAATGTGAAATTATGTTAAGACGAATGCTATATTGTTTATTACATTTATTCTTATTGTA